CGAATCTTATCTAAAATTATTGCAAAGCGACAGGACCCAATGAAGGGTGTACTGCTCCTGAGCATGCCCATTCTAGAAGCACAAGCCGAGTTTGCTGCTGTATCTGTGGCCGTTGTGGTCGCTTGTTTCCGAGATTAGCAAATAGCAGGGCGCAATCCCTATGACTCCACTTGCAAGAGGTGGGCGAAAGAGCAAGGGGAACAACTTAGGTCACTTGCCTCGGCTTGCATTTGTCAAATCATTCCGTTGCCCCTGAACAAACCCTGTAGACATGTTTCTGGCACATTGCATCAGCAGTAAAATCACCCGAGAGAGGCCAATTCAAAAGGTTGTTCAATCCTTTTATGACCCAATCGCTGGGCTTCATTGTTGCTGCTATTTGGGCACCCCATGCTCGAATACCTGAGCGTTTGGTGAGTGCAGGCGTCTGGGAGAGTATATGATTATTAGATAGTATCAGGCGTTAGCACCCTCCCAGATAAGCCACACGGCTCGGGACGACAGACCCAGCAGTGCTTGAAAGGAGGCAATCGGCATCTCTATGGACATGGACACTCCATCCTGCTTTAAGCACAGATACCAATTGCTTCCAATCAATATTATAGTATGGGAGGTCTCGCAGCCACTTCTCGCCCGTGCCCAAGGCATCCGCAACTCATTCGGGCAAGACTCAACGACGACATTCTTCCTGATGCTGATGTTGACCTGGAAGCTTGGTCCAGGTGTTTAAGCCAAACAGAACAGAGGCCCACCTAGAGGTTGGTTTAGGTCTTGCAGATCGGGAGTCGCTTGCAGGAAGCTGCGGTGATAGGCTCAGCACCAGACGCGTCGTGAGGTGTTTCCAGAAGCTCTAGAATCATACGGGCATGCCTCGACTTAAACGCTGACAATTGCTAAGCCCATGCATCAGAGCATGCAGTGACCATAGGGCAGTACCGTGCTCTTTCGCATCTAAAAAGCAGCTGAGTGCAATGCTTACTGTCATCAGGCATCTGAGAACAGGTAAGACTAGTTGTTGGGCTTCGGATTCAGAAGTCTAAAAGGGCGTTGGACATTCGCTTCATCTCCCCCTCGAGCACACTCCACAAAAAGAACATTTCTTGGCAAGTAGTACCGAAATGCAGTACTGAGATTTGGCGGGAACAGGGTTGGTTCAAGGATCCCGGACGGCCTGAGCGGGTTTGAGCCCTAGTCTTCAGACCGTATGACCAGTCCGCTTGCAAGCCCGACGGCAGTAGTCCTCACATGAAGGTTTAGCCCTGGAGCTTCAATCAGTAGACTCCGAATCTCTATAGGTAGCAGTACCAGGTCTCTTGCATCTCCAGGAGCCTGGTGGTCTTGAGCAGGAGGTCCTGGATTCGTGTGATGTACCATCTAACTGTGCTTTTCTTCTAGATTTCTTCGCTGTGAGGGAAAAGATTGCTTCTCTTGCTGCTACCGAATCACGCTTTTGAGAGGCATGATTGTCGCAATGAGAATATACGTGCTAGCAGATCATTGGGCAAAGACAGAATCAATGTTTTTCTGAAGGAAGGTCTGTATCTAGCACTCGGACCTGCATCAATTATCATGGCATTGGGCTCAGGTTGATTGGGCGCGATGCTACAATTCAGGCAATCTTCGTTCATCTTCGTTTCGTTCATGCATGGGCCGAGTCACGATCCCAACCTAGACACTGGGAAGGATAACACACCTGGAGTTCTCACACAACTTTCTACACGCCTGCCGCGCAACTCCCAACAGCTAGTGTGTTGTAGCTGGAGGCTATGACTTTCTTTGCCCATATCTTCAAGGGACATGCCTCCATTGTTGAGCAAAGAATGTCTCTCAAAGCATTTAGAGGTGCATACGAGGATGTTCCCGAAGAGCTGCAGTGCATGAGATGAACATCAGGTTAATTGTTGGTAGGAAACGATTCAAATTATCGCTTACATTCTCAAGCCGAACCAAGCAGGGAACACGCAGAAGGCAACTGAACAAATTGAGCCACGGATTGGGAACTCTTACCCCTGAGCCTCCGAGCTGCGAACGAGGATTTTTCCAGGGATGTGCTACCTGCCCGCATCTCTTCCCAGCTTCTTCTCGCACGTGAGGCGCTCTCTAGGGCTTCAGGGGCATGAAGCTATGGTGGGATATTGTTAGGTGAGTTGCTGTACAAGCGAGCCTGGTGTTAAGCACGAAGCTAAATGCTAGTGTAGACACAGGCGTAGCAGTTGCCAGCTGCCACAGCGGGAGGTCTAGGCATTAAGACTTCCAAACAGCAACCTCACAGTTTCCACAACAATCTTTGCCACTAGTCTGAAAAGCGCCCTTCAGAAGGGATACTTTAGCCCGAGCTCCTATTTCAATCGTTACGTAGGAAGCGCGTGTCTCCAGCAACCTCATGACTCATAGCTGTACATGTACATTCCATACCCGACAGCTACTGTCGAGTCTTATTGTCTTACTGCATGTGTGGATTCGCTGATTGCTAGGGCGTTAGCTGTCAAAACTTGCTTGATAACTTGTTGGTGATGGTTTGGGCTTAGTTTTGTTTTGTCTCCTTGGAGGTTTTGTTCGAATGGTCTGCTGAATTCCAAGAAGCTGAAATGTGTGGATGCCAATTGCATCGGCTTTCCAAGGGGCTCTGAGATCTTTACATACCGTTTGTGCCGAGGTGATGCATAATAAGTTATGCCGCCTCGAATAAAGAGCCATGAGGTGTGTTGTCTCAGCGCAACTAGACCTTGCACACCAAATGACAGAAGTTCTTCGCAAGTGTTGAGCCTCGGTAAAGAATACTAGACGCAGCAGTACTGCAGAACAAGGGCAGCTGCAAGAAGAATTGTGCTGCTAAACGTATGTCTGCCATTCCGAGGATTGTGGCTTGTTTGGCTACCCTAGGTATAGTGCAGCTGGTCACCTAAAACTGTCCAACGAGAAACATCTGGTAAATCATCCTAATGCAGGAAGATCCGCCAACATGAGCTGCTCTTGAAGCATATGGCCGATTTCGACATTCAGAATGCAGCTCGGTCTCCTGCGTTGGGTCTACATATGCCAAGATCTACTAGGGTATTTGGGTATTATTGGGGATTGTTTTTGACGGAGAGTGCGAGTCTCAATGGCTGCAGGTGTTGCACCTGCCGTCAACTCAGCATGAACGGGCCTGGAAATTCAAAACGTGAGTGGTACCGGTGAGCGCTGACGTATGGGCCTTGCCACCAGATTTCTGTCGGTTGTATTGCACAGGGACGGGAGCATGGGATATACGGGAGTCATGATTGTACATGCGTATCGTGTTTTGTTTATACCTGCAAGGTGTAACGTCGTCCCGCGTTTTGCTTGCTGTTTTCTGTCTACATTTCTGAGATTGCAGCGGGTTGGGCTGCTGCGTGCCATGCGTATCACCCTGCCCAGACACCCACACAGACAGGAACCGGGCCGTCATCCCTGAGATTCCCTTTTTCAAATCTGAAGCCGAACCCCAAATCTAGCCCGTAGGAGGGCTTTCCAAACACATGCATGACCAGGCAAAGTGCACTCTCGAGTCGGATCGCGAAATTATCGAGAATCAGGCAGGCCTCCTTGTTGAAAGGGGTCTACAGTTTTGTGGCTCTTCTTGTCAGGGGGTGTAGCATGGCACGCCAGGAACCTACTTACTCCCGTGTAACCTGGGGTTCTCAAGTATGGAATCCTCCTTGTTGAGCCCCTTAGAAGAATCAGGGAGGGTGTTTCTGCCTCTGTCTGACTGTGCTGTCATTTGGGTTTATGTTTTCTTCCGCAGCAACTCCTGGTATACTCAGCTTGTTTAGTTCCAACTTTAATCTTGGAGCTTCAACAGCCAACTCCTGATGCTTCAAGCCGTTTTTAGAGTACCTGGTTTCAGGCGTGCTTGCCAATCCCCCCCTTGCCCATACCGCAAAGACCCTGGGCCTACCCGCTGTAAGGCTTCGGCCTACTCTACAAAGCTGAATCGCATTGCAAAGTATAGTCCACCTCAAAAAGCAGTTGTATTCGTTCAGGCCTTGAAAGTGGGGCTGGTGATTCCTCATTGCACTATTCCTACGAGGGCCCGCTGGGGCATTTTTGTGAGCTTCTCCGGGCCGAACTTCCAAGCCTCAGGATTTCATAGGCTTTCTTCGGAATTGCTCGCTCTGGGGGGGGTGGGCATAAACCGACAGCCCAAGCTTGGAACACTCAATCCATGGCCACAGATCTTGGAGATCTTCGATGACCCACTTGAAGATGCAATGGACGGGGCTCTTGCCAAGCTGGGATTCGCCACTATCCCCCTGCCCAAGCCAAACTGCCGCGCAGCACCTTCTAGAGTTGGGCTCTTATACGTATGACAAGGGAGCGATTCTCTGTCTGGTTTTATAGACCTATGCGCTTTTGGCAGGCTCCACAGATCTAGATGTTCAGCAGGTTGTTGCTTACATCCTGAGAGTACCACATGTGCACGCCTGGGCTCACCCGTAAATTCATGTGCTCTTCGGCAGGCAAATGGTTTAGAATACCCAGGTTCCGGTAGCTTTTGGCCTTGTAGTTTGTTGAAGATACGTACGCAAGTCAAGAGGAATCTATATCTGACCTCATAGAGACCCGCCTGTCGGAACACGGCCCTTATAGGATTATTCCGTACAAAGCTCACAATGCATCAACAGACGATTTCTGAAGTGCAAGCCTACCCGGGACAGGTATACAGTATCTACTCTCCACTAACTACGTGAATGTGCCAGAATCACCACGTGTCACTTCCTCACAGCTTCTCGTGATGATGTTCTAGAAGAGCATTCAAGGGTTCCCTTCATCGCCTGATGGCCGATAGTCTGCGCTGTGCTTTCGTCCAGCCGGACTAATGCTTGCCTCAAACAAACTCACGTCACAAGCATGCACATGTCGTGTGATGTGCATCGCCATCATTGTGAACCATACCCCGTCATTGAGGCGCAGGCATCATTAAGCTTCAACACCAAGCCCCAGCTTTGAGAAATTCCCATTTGCATCATCCCCGCGAGGATTCATTTAGAGTGGAGCCTCTCTCGCCAATGGGCAACCGTTCCCCCTTTGCGAAGAAGAATGGTTCGTGGTCCAGATCCGAAAGGAAGAAGCGGTCCTTTGGCTGCAGTCAGCATTTCCAGGAACCCCTGCGGCACTACCTTCATGGGGCACCCTGGTTGTTGGTTTTAACCGTGTAGGATGGAAAAGCAGCCCCACTTCGGCTACACCAGCCATGCCTATAAGGAAAATGCGGTCTTTGCTACTGTACCAGAGATGCTGTTTCAAAAGTGCCGCCGATTAGCTTAGCAGTTGGAAGTTCCGGCTGATCTAAATTTGTTGTCACCGTCACTCGCTTGGGGAAGTCTTGCTGTGGTGCTTTTCCAGAGGACAGGATTGCTTCTACATGAAAGACAGAGAGAGAGAGAGAGAGAGAGAGAGATGTGTGTGTGTGCGTGCATGTATATACATATACATACATGCATACATGTATGTTCCCCCCCCCCCCCACCGCACCTATCTATCTTTTTGTGGTGGGGGGTTACGGTTTAATGAGAGCATGCCTGGCGGGGGATCAAGGCTCAAGGCTTTTGATGTTTGAGAAGTTCATGCAGGGGCAGGTGTCCTCGAAGATCTTTGTGCAATTGAATAAGGGGGAGTGCTGGATAGATGATGGAAGCTGCTCAGGAAACTTCTTCTAGGAATCTTCAATCTTCTATCCATGACGGTCCCTTCTTCACGCCCCTTATTCAGTTGAATAAGGGACATGTTGAGTGTGCCTGTAACCTTGAAAGGAGGTTATATAAGGGATTGCGTAGGGGACTACTTCGAGGGGTTATTAAGGGGGATGCTAGAAGTTTAGACTTCGGCTCCTATGCTGGATGGGACTCCAAGCCCTAAGTTTGGAGCCTGCCCAAAATTTGCCATGAAACCCCAAATTCGTGAAATGCTGAGCTCTGCAAAGCCCGGGCTTTCCCGTGACCATCCCGTTCCCTGCCAGGGATTTACCCGTGACAAACCATGATTCACCCGTGACGCGGTCATGGGTTACGCGAACTCTGGGTTTCGTGCCCAGACCTCGGGGTGAAATCTTCTCTGTTTTTTTGTTCTTTGGGTTCTGGGTTTCCTAGGTATGTAGGCTTGACACGGATGGCCAAGTCCCAGCGGCGAGCAAGATTCGGATTTGCGTCTAAAGCACCCAAGTCCCAAGCCCCCGCGTAACCACCAAGAGGTCACTCCACCTCCGCAACTTCAGGTTTAACAATTTCAACCGCTACGTGCGTGGCCCTTTGCGGGAATCTGTCCTCTGCAGCATTGGCAAGGACCAACAAGACAGACCATGCAGTGATAGATGTGGGGCTTAACATCACCGATTTGGGCGCAGTTTTGGGATGTTGCCAGATTGGATGCCTATAGCTCAGGTGAAGTTGCTAGTAAGCATGCTGCAATGCAGACTTGTGCAATTTTTCCCGGGTTCCGAAGCTTTGTTGTCCACAATTACAGTTGCTTTGAACTTACTCGTTGAGCCATGAAGAGCTGGCGCAACATTGGTATAGTAGCCGCATCTCTTGAAATGGGTATGGCATGATGCCAAGCTATCTGCAACATGTATCGCTGTACCTTTGCGCATGTATTGTAAGCTGCGCAGTCCTCTCAGGCCTGGGCTTCTAGATTTAAGCAGAGGTGCCTTTCAGAGGTCCATGGCGTTTGCTATGATGTGCTCTCGTGGGAGCGCTGTCATCTGTTGCTTCTTTCAATTTCATGAGTACTTCTGTTGGTGCATGCAACTCATCACACCGGCTTCTGACTTTGGCCAGCATGCCCATGCATTAATGCAAGAGTTGAGCATAAGTGGAGCTTTGCACCAACTTTACTGCCAATGCTTGCACCTGCATCATCACCACTGCTGCTGCCGCTACTGCTGCTGCTACCGATATTGCTACTGGCGCTCTTCGTGTCACTGCTTTTTGTCTTTGATTGCATGCGCCAGGAAGTGGACATTCCTCTGAGCCTTTGCTTGATCTGTCTCTCGGCTTGGTGACATGAGTTGGTCGACAAAGGCACGATTTTATATAAGAACTGAGTACCGTAGGTCTTAATTAGGTCTATAAGCTTCCTTCACTTTATCATGTTTAGACAAGCCACCGTTCCCCGGACGCCCTCCCATCGTTGCTCCTTTGGACCCCGAGCCCAGAGATCTATTAATGATCAAATAGCGAATTCCCCAAACAGTAGCCTTTTTTCTGTTGCGGTAGTCTAGAATCTGATTAGGACCTTACCTGTGATGAGTACGTTTGGAAGGAAACGTAGGTATGATTCATCGTGTCTTGAGTTCTGACTGCAATATCAGGTCAGGTTCACTGAGACAGAGGCCACGTTCATGACCATACTTGCTTCAGCAAGGGAAAGCTTTGCCGCCTTGGGCCCGTCTTGGGGGCTTATCATGGGCATATTCTAGAGCTGTTTGAAGTGTAAAGGTGGCCCAAACAGCCCTCAGCTGCATGACCTCCACCAGCGCACACAGCATTTTGATGTTCGTTGGCAGACCGAGGCCACCATCGGAGGATTCTGCGTACTAATTTTGGGGGGGAATCCTACTAAGCTTGCGATGCTAATAGGGTTCCAGGTAGGCCTAAAGCAACGAAAGGACGAAAGGACGTCGTGAAATCAGGGACGCGCTGCCAGACATGACCCGCTCACCACGACCCTTCCACCTTGGCTGAAAGAACCGTCTAGCACTCCGCGTTTGCCAAGCGCTTGTTCTTTTTAGCTCACCTACCGACTAAAATAGGTACAGCAAGGCCACCAGAAGCTTTGACACAGGGTTCCGTACCACTCATTCACTACATCACTCCTCAGTGTGAACTAATCCTGCCCCTATTATTGATGGGTTATAGCAGTAGCATAATCCCCCCTCTATTTTTGATGGGTTATAGCATGCTGCCTCACCTCTGATGACATGACATTGCTGTCCACAATCATAGGTAATTCTGTCGTGGCGCCGTGCAGGTAGCGCAAGCATGCTAAGATTGACACCACAAAGCAGACTTCTGGTCAGGGTGTTTTGAAGCAGGGGCCCCTCTGAGCTAGGCACAAGCTGGACCAATTGCAACATCGCCTGAAAGCAGCAGACCATCGAGTCCTTCCACCTACCGACTCCTCAAACGCTTGCCAGGCGAAACAGGGCATTTTGTTCTTGGGGGCTGAACGAACTGAGTGGTCATAGGTTCGCTGGGACGAGGCAAGCTTGAACATAACGCGGCACACACATTTGTTGATGCAAGGTCATAGTGAGGGCATCAGCTAGCGGCGCTGCAGTACCCCCAACACAATTTGGAAGCCAGAGGCATTACACGGAGCGGGTTTGCCGTTATTTGTTACTCCCAGCTCTGAACTCCAACCGAACATCCGAAAGCCCGGCCCGGAAGCCCAGTTCCTCAACCCCATTCCTGGAGCCCGAGCCATCGCCGAGGCTTTTTGCCATTAATCTTCTACTCTGCAGTGAGCGTCCTTGGCTGCGACGGGGACACTGGTGCTGGTTTAGACAAATCTTGCATGCTGGTCTTCCCCATACACATCCCTGAATATCATGGGTGTCGTTCGCTACGAACTGCATACAAGCCCTGAAACCATTGTCATCAACCAGTGGCTGGGCGGTAGCATTCTAACGTTTCACATCGACTGTGAACGTCTCCGTTCTGTCGTGATATCAACAAGGTTTTAAAAAGGTTGGCTTTGCAGATACTTTACCAGACCAGAAATGCTTCCGTCAGTTTTTGCAAGGGCTCCGCTATCATGCTTTCAGGCTCCACAGGCTCCCCCAGTCGTGCGTATACCCGTGAAAGCTGATTCCTCCCTCATGGGTTAAATGTTATCATGCGATTACGGCATGAGGCTTGAGGTTTAAGGTCTACAGCCATCAGAGCTGGAGGTTTAGTTCGATCCAGGGCCTCATTTTCTGATTCAACGTCTGTTTGCCGATCGTGCTTTTTGATCTGGACTTCCTACCGTTTTTCCCCTCGCGCTTTTCGATTCACCTTTGGCGCGTGTCATTTGGCAACCCAGTGTGTTGATGATCATGTTTTTGTTCTCGCCGGAGCATGTTTCCATCCGTTTCTGTAATAACCCTATTAAATTGCGATGTGAGCAAGTAGGTAGTTTCCATTTCCTTTTCCATTACCCCTTTATAACTCCAATATAAGACTATAGTAGTTTCCATTTTCTTTTCCATTATCCCTAATTCCAATAACCCCCAGTATATGACATGAGCCATGCCATGCCATAGGACAGATGCGACGTCACCGCGAAACAGGTGGGCTACGCTACCGGCTCACAGCAGCTTCGTGGGATTTACTGAACATGGGGCCAGGATTCAGGATGTTTGCTGTAGTTTGACAAGAAATGGTTCAGGGTGTCTATGGAATTCTGATGTAAGGATTCATGGTGCTTATGGAGTTGTCACGTACAGCGTAATGTCATTTGAATCTATTCTTGGGGTGTACAGTTCGCAGAGCAGGGATCTAGGGCTCAGAGCTGCTCCAACAGCGGAGCCTAGCTGTAGGTCCTTCGCTGCTGTGCGGCTCACCGAAATGCGCAGGTATTTTGAGGGTGCCAGCCGAGAAATGAACCAAGCTACCGTTCATGTCGATTGGACACTCTGAAGAAGTGATGATACAAGAACATGGTCCCACGTGCTTGATGGTGAGTTTTTTGGAGCACATGAGCACTTTATATATATATATATACTTTAGTCTGGAGTAGGGATGCACTGGAGTTCCCACTGACAGGGAGACGCCATATATACTTCAATCTAGTAGAATCCTCAATTTGGGTACTTCCCAAACAGGGACCCCTAATTTCTGAAACATCCACATAGGAACTGTAGGGAGCTGGAGAGAGCAGATTTCAAAGTTGAACGGTAGCAGGCGATACAGAGATCTGCCTAAGGACTTCATGACCATGGCATCCAATTAGGGGGATTCTATTTGGACCCCTCTCTAGTGTCAAAACGAGGGCTGCATGTTTGATTGGGCGAGGTTAGGTTTGCGGTCTCGGGACTTTGGGCATTTTGCTAAGCTTGCGAAACACCAAGTTGGAGTTGGGGCCTGCATGTCTATGACTTGCTATGACCAGTAGAGTTAGTTGTGAGGTTGAATGTTGGGCGTCCAAGCAGCCCATACATACGTAATCCCTGCCCCCTTCTTCTCCTACACATCCTACACATCAAGACCACCCTTCCCCGGGTTCCCTTGCAGAGTTCATCTCCAGTGCAGCTTGAGTCACGTGGTCCTCAAAGTGGGCCTGCAGATCTTGAAAGTCTCTTTTCAAAGTGAGCCTTACCCTAAACCCTAAACCCTACTCTTGTTGTAAGGTATTTCGTGGCCAACTCATTGAGCTGGGTGTTGGGATTTGGTATAATTATACCAACAACCCAGCCGCTGCTGCTGCGAATGGCCACTCTGACTGACCACATGTTCATGTAGGACTTTGTTTTTTCAGTGGTTTGGGCAGGGTTCAGGTGTAAGAGTAATTATTGGAGAATGCAGATAAGCATCACCTGCAGCAACACAGTATGACATCCCCTCAGCGCAGATCTTTAATCGCATGCCGTATTATAAGAGGCCAGTCAGAAGCCTCATGCATTAGAATGTTTACAGATGACGACCAGCATAATTTCCAATCCAACAGCAACTTTGTAGGAAAGTGAGGAAGATCTCAATTTCAGTCGAATTCCGTTTTATTCTTCCTACAGCTTCCATCATAAAGCCGTACAATAACAACACCACATGTCTAGCGACGGGGGAGGAGGGCCAACAGCTTAATAACCTTGTGATGTCCTCAAGATTTCCCTACACAATTATTCAATTCAGTCTTTACATCGCTCTGATGGGTGATTGTGAAGTGTAGTCTTGCCCTTCATAAAATGGTTTTGAGGGGCTTAGGCCTCCAGATTCATCATGTAATATTGCGCTGTCGAAACTTGGGTGTTGGCAGAGCATACCACGGTTTGTTCTATGACTTCATACTAGATTGCGCAGTCCATGACCTGTAGGGGATTTTGAGTATCCAGTGGATGTCCGGACACATGGTGCAAGCAATTATGGTTGGCACGCCATGAGGCCTCAGACATTCCAGGAAGAGTCGTTGTTTACTATGTCCAAGTTGTTCCTAACCGCACAGGGAGCTGCGCACAAACAATGCGGTTCCTCACAGGGACATTGCCAGGGATAGGGTATGACATTCTCATTCAGGACACGGAAAAAGCAGACAACCCACCCAAATCGGCAACCTGATTTATTGTGAGTTTGCGAGCAGCGGCAGGGGCATTGGCGTTCAGAGTCTGTTGCCCAGGGAAACATGGAATCATGGGGCTTTGTAGAATTCGCAGCACCTGAACATATCTCCACAGGCAGGTTCTGACTTCTGATGCCCCTGCGAGCCGGATCCTAGTGTATTTCAGGGATGCTTAGCATCCAGGAGCCATGTGGTGGGTTGCGTGTGTGCGCTTGTGAATTCCAAGTCTGCATGTCTACGACCCAAAAACTCGCTGCGATCCTACGCAGCAAAGATGTCCTCCAGCATGCTGCTACCGTTATGGTAACTCACAATGATGACCTCCACACAAGAAAAGATCCAGCTTTGTGCCTTGAAGCCTAAGATTGGTTGGCAAAAGCAAAGCTGAAGCCTGGACAGGTCAAAGTCATCGTCACGCTTTCCAAGAATGTGCCGGTCCAGGTTTGCTGTACAGCTACTCAGTCTTTACACATTCTGAGAGCGCTCAATGCAAGCATTCCTGCATGTACATGCATACATGCATACAAATTGACAAATTGCCTTTAATGTATGTGTATGCGATATAGATATATATATATATACACATATATATATGTATATATATATGCATACTTTGCATGATAAGTATACCCGTGCACACAGATGTGCATCGCCATTACATGGCATGATACCTGTGTAGCAGATCAACCTTTCCAGGTAGATGTACTTGTACTGCAGGACCAGCGGCACCCTGTCAATGCCCATCTTGCCCTATGACTGATAGACAGGGAGTCTCCCAAAATTAGGGGTACCTTTTTGGGGGTCCCCATAAGAAGGATTGTAGTATTTTTGGGTCTATATTGGGGTCCCCTTATTTTCAAACTCCAAGTGCTTGAGACGGAACTTGCAGATGTCATTACATTGTGCGTGCACGTCAAGGTACTGAACTGGCACTGTTACCAGGGCGCCAGGTTAGACCATACAGCAGCTCCAGGCATGCTTTGTAAGAATGCCGACGTAATGACTCTAAACAGCTTTCATGCTTTTCAATGAATCTAAGCGCTTAAAGTTGGCAAGTGGAGTCCGGGGGCTGCCATTTAAGACTGCAGTCCCAAGCCAAAGGACCTGAGGTGTTAGGTAATTGCTTCCGCAGGGTGATGCCTTATTTGTAAGTTGTTCCAGTGAGGGTGCGCTCTTGCTATTGTTTCACCCCAGGACCTACGTTGGACTTCAACAATGAAACCCTAGAAGGCTTCATCCCCATGACTCCAATGACGCGGTGTGTTGAATTAGACTCACTCTTTCTAGACTTGAGTTTGTAAGGAAGCAGTGCAAATGACAGCATGGAGTTTCCAATGACATGGAATCCTGCTATGAGGAATCAGGGCATTCAAGTCATATCTCTAGGATGCCAAGCGGCTGTGAAGACCACCAGCTACCGGTTCCCTTGCCGTGGCACCCATCCGACACACCTAAGGTTGTATCCACGTTCCTGGCCTACCTGTGGGTCTTCTCATGGCAGGGACTGGTGACCGCGACCATGACAACCGCCCTCTTCAGAAACTTGGCCCGTCACACACATACTACCGCGTCAAAGAGGATGAGTAGTAGGGGAGATGGCCTACGGCTAAACGGTTTTGTTTAGGATGCTGAAATGCTTCCCAGGACTCCCTGAAGGGCTTCTTTCACCTGCTTCCAGAAGTTCCCTAGTTACCTCTGTTCTTGTACTCACTCACTACAAAAAAAAAACAGCAGATGTCGTGCTTTCGCAGAACTTTAAAGTAGAGTCGTGAGGCAGTGGTTGAATGGCCGCTGTGTAAAGCCATGATCAACAATTTTGTTGTAGAGTGACCGAAGGCCCTGTTTAATGCTTTTTGGTTTGGAATCCTAGCAGACTTCGGCAACTTTGCTTTCCATCAATCCCCAGAGTCTTCAGAATCCGGAAGACTTAAACATCTACCTAGTTCTAATGTTTCTTGGGAGGGGGAGAGGGTGTTAAGAGTAAAGGGAGCCCAATGTTAAGAATTCAGGATTACGGGCCTGCTGAGGGCTTGAGGATTGCTTCGGGGCTCTGGGGCTTGTAAACGGGGTTCCGGCGGAAGACTGAAGTCAGAGTCAAGAGCTAATGAATAAAGTCAAGGAAAGTGTCTGTGGGTTGACGGCACCATGAGGAGCCAGGAGATACGGCTAATCTCCGGATTCCCGTGTTGGTTCACGGGTCCTCCTTTCTTGATGCGCAATGATGCAGGTTCACGCTCGATTTTTGGCTGCGTCCCGAACCTAGGATGTGGGATCTTTTGTACAATCCTTCCAAAAAGAAGCCTGTGCTTTCAGACACACAACCGACAAATAGATTTCGGGAACAACTGCATTCCTATGGCCCGTGGTCACAGAACGTCACAGATCGATACGTTACCGTAATCCGGAATGCGGATTGCCACACGTTTTTGAAGGGGCTTGTCAATCGTGACACTTCTGCACCTGGAGAATCATGTTCGGCTCTCTCCGGAGAACTTCTGACCAAAGAGTTTGACATGGGCATTATAGAAACAGATGACTACCGTGCTCAGCAAGCATGGCTCAACTGCACTGCGGAGTCCACATGCCAGTTCCGGAGCATGACACACTAAAGCTCCACGAAAAGCTAAACTTCAACGGCGGTATGTTCAGTTGCCTGAGACCCCAACATGCACTGACATGGCGAGTGCGCAATTAAATTGTAAACTGTTGACAGGTGCCAAATTACACATGCAAGGTGATGAATACTGTAGCCATGAACTGCGGCACGCATGAATGTCTAGCAGGAGCGAGCGAATTCGCCTGTGTTGTGCGGAAGCACACCCATCTCAGTATTCACCGCACGCCCCTGTACAAGGAAACAGTTTATCTCGAATCTGATTTTACCGATAACCAGAGGGCAAGGAGGAGGAAGAAGTGGAGTAGTTGTTGTTGTGGTTGTCGTTAGTACCACTTGTAACACCCGACCATAGTCTGACCATGTTGTTGTGGTCGCTACCTTTGTTTGCGCTATCTTGCTGCCTTCCGTAGCACAGCAAAGGAGAAACTTCGCCATTCTTTCTCCTTGCTTTGGCCATTCAGCTCATCCTGCTTACCTTCCAGCTGCTTGGCTCAGGAGTAGGCCATTCCCTGGGGATCCTTAGGGATTATTATTGGATCGCAAGAACCATACCTGAGGGCTTCACTTTGAGTCTTGGCAAAGAGGGTTCAGGGTTGACAGTAGCATCTAGCGTACTGGCTGGCTGAATGCTCTAACTACAAATACAACAAAGCTCTTACCCAGCTCCAGAAACGGAAAACACAATTGATAAAGCCAAGGTTGAATTCACGTGGTTTGCCCTTTTAAAAGGGCAGCACGTTGTTCTCGAAAGTCATGTCACTAAGAGCAAGGTTTGGCATCTTGCTGCAAAAAAAGAGTTTTTTTCTGAAGTCCCGATCCTGCACTACCGACATGCATTAGGCACATTCGTCTCGACAAAGCCGCCCTGAAATCAACAAGGATCTTCAGAGCATCAGTTTGTTGGTATACAGGCAAGAAGACTGTTTGTGCTCTCGGCTGATAACCTGTTATGCCTTTATAGTGCCAGCCCAAAAAAGCGTTCAAGTGGCCTCTTGCACTGAATTCCTGTGTTCCTGTCGTTTGGGCGGAAGAGTCCCGTGATTGGTCGTGAGCATGTTGTATCCACGGTCTCGAAAGGGTAGAACATGCTGCCGCCCGCAAGAAGGAGGCAGCATGAACTGCACAGCTATTCTTTGCTGCTTTACATCTTCGTAGTCCTATGCAGCGGACACGGAGCCACGACAAGCTCATGTTCAGTTGCTAGGCCAGGTCCACCGAAGGGATTCTCACTCTGCAAGTGCAATACAATTATATAATTAATTAATTATAATGTTTCATTTGTACTTGTACCAAGACGTAGGGCCTGAAGCCTTGCTGGTGCAGCTGTCCTAAGGGGGAAATGGGGGGCACACTCCTAGACCTGAACAAGCTGCAGTGCAATGATCTTGCGACCCGCCACAGCGTGGCACTCTTCCACCATTGGCTCCTCCACATGGGATGTGCCCTGGAGCTGTATTTGGATTTATATCGGTTCGTGCCAGCATGATTGGCTTGTAACAACGCCCGGAGCCCACACCTGTTACATACCACGTCACATAGCGTCCCATTTTTCACTCAAGCCATTTGATTTCGATATTCCCTGACGTCCAAGGATGTGGTACCTTTTCTTTCAGCCGTCGCAGATTCAGGGAGTCACTTTGCAAGAGGACGAGGGGACTTGGGAAAGGCTCTGGTGCTGGCAAAGGGCTCAGTTTTCAGAGGTACATCGCTAGTACGTGTCTGGCCTTTGAGTTGACACGATAGTTATTTCGCCAGGCCCACCTGCTCGGTCGCGTGGACTGCATGGCCGGACTCCAAAAACGTATAAGATCGCAAATCACCAGTGCCATAGCATTGGTCATAAACGCGATAGGGTTGACGTGCATAGCGGCATACTGACCGCGACTGAAAACTCATATTTGCGAAGTCTGAACATCTATCTTGTTCCTGTTGCTTCACACCTACACCTGCCAGCCGAAGAAGAGCGGTGTTAGCCGCAGTCGGAAGGAACTGTAGGTATTAAAACCTCTTTGAGACGGTGATGGCAGCTGCATTTACAACCCTTACCATAACCGTCCTCTTCTTTCATTTCTGTATCTCTGAATACACCGAGTCACCGAACTTGTGCGTTGACATTCCGGCTCGTTTGATTTGAGTCTAGCCATGCATGGGTCAATGTCCACCCTGGGGTCACGACCATCCTGCTTTATCATTGTTGTTCTCGTTGTTGCTCTTGTTGGTTGTTGACAGATGCCACCCTACACGTTCGCGGCAAATCTTTGCCTTGCAGGACTGCTACACTGAATTTTGAGGAAGCTGCTAGACCGAGTTTAGCCGCTGATAGGCTTGTTTCGACGCCAACGATGTGCAGCAAGTCTAGACATGTTTTCAACACCTCAAAAGCGGTTCAAAAAGTTGTGGTTGGCTGGTTTGCGGGAATCTGAGCTTTTGACGAGCAAGGTCAAAGATCTCTTCAATCGCCTGGTGACCTCCCTCAGTTGTAACCTACCTTGGGAAAGATCACTGGTTCAGCTCATGCTCGCCCACCGTTCGTACGTTGAGCCTGTGCAACACAAAAGTTCCGGTAGTAGCTATAGAAGGACATGTCCATTAATGGGATGTCCCAAACTATGCTTCTTGTCTGCATCCTGGCAGCAAAGATCACTTGAGATCTGAAGTCAAACGCAGCAGCTTTCATGAGTATTCAGCAGGTGTGCAAGAGCTTTGTGCGGAGCGTTTGGTTTATAGAATGATTTCCGCAATCCGCCAACACGTTTTCTGCGGTAAGATGTGGTAATGATGAGCGGATGCCCAGAGGGTCCAGATGTTCAAGAATTGGTGTCTTTAAGATCTTCATGTAGGGGAAGTAGGCGAGAATCTATTTGGTACGACCTACGGCAGGAGTTTTCGCCGTCGTTGTTAGATACTTTGGACCCTCTGGGTGAAGAGAAACTACTGAAAGAAGCGCTTGCCGCTTGTGAAATAAGCTGGGCTTTGAACCTTGTGAACATGCAGAGCTCCAGGGTTAGGGTTCAGAGGCTTCAAAAAGATTCAGTGCTTCGAGCTCAGAACACGAACAGGTTGTGACCCCTCAACCCTAAAACCCTATATACCCCATATAACCCGCATTTTCTCCTATATCACCCTTATATACCCCAACATACCTGCTACATAGACCTCATGTCAAGCTGCCAAGCCCTGCTTTGCTGGATTGAAATTTCCAGGTTATATCTGGTTATGTAGGGGTTATATTGGGACAATGGAAAAGAACATGAAAGCTACTCTAATAGAATAGGGGTTATATAGGGGCCATATTGGTAGAATGGAAAAGAAAACGCAAACTACTACAATATGATAGGGGCCATACAGGGGTTATATTGGCGGCACCCAGCCTTTAGCTCCTTGGTACTTGTGAGGTTCCTCTCTTCTACAGCCCTTTAACATCATAGTATCCGAAGCAAGCCTCTACCCTGAAAAGACGACTACTGCTTAGCACACGGGGGCTGGGGTCTTCTGTTTAGGGTTTAGTGTTTAGGTGTTTAGGGTGTAGGGTCTAGCAGGCAGATTTCCCAGTACCCTAGTTAAGGACCCTTATGTTTCTGAGGTCCGTAGAAGAGCCCGGCACATTGTTGGTCAGAGCAAACAGGGTAGCACTGCCAGGAAAGGGACGAATATCAGTGAATACTTTGAATCACAGTTAAGGACTATTGACTGCTTCACTTGTGAAAGTTGGTGCGAAGAGTCGCGCAGGTTATGCTTGCGACTTATTTCCCAACTTCGTTTGTAAGCCTGATCGCGAGATAGCGAGAGTTATCGCAACGACCGGAGGTGATTCTTGTAGTTTCTGTGGATATGAGAGCAGGTCTTGATGTTCAACATCGTGCCGGGGATAAAGGTAATTACATAGCGAATGACTTCTGACTGCAGAACTGCCTGAGATGTCCTAGGTGAGGAATTGCATAAGGCGACTCCCATGTGATATGTAATACTGGTGAAGGGTGAAGGGGATTACATGCGCGCGCCGGCCCACCGGCACCAAGCAACGTGTCCAGATGGTACGTGACAAGGAAGACCAAGGCACTAGGCATGCCTAAACATCATGGATTCCCGATATGGTAGTCTCCCTAAATAGGAGGACCCCCCATATAGACCCTATAATATAATTGCCCTTATTATGGGGACCCCCCAAA